AATAACGATAGCGCAGGGAGTGATCACTAGAGGGTTGTCTGCCATTTAGCTAAACTTGGCACACATCAAGGTCAGAGTATGAGCTTCGCGTTTTTCTGAGACTAATAACCAAGCCAGTGTAAACGCGGCTGAACATTCATTTGGGTGAAGGCAAACAATTCTGGATGATTATAAGTAAAGGAGAAATGATTAGTATGATGACGAAGGAAGTGGGAGAAAGCTAGAGAAACTGAGGACGTTTGAGTGCCCCAGTGAGCGCCCACTGTTATGGGACCAAGATGTAGCCGTATGAAGCAGGGGGAAAATCCTCTATTAGGTGTGTACTTCGAGTAAGATTTTGAAGTACGCTGAATGAAAGCGTAGCGGTTTCAATGGCGTCATTCAAAGGCGCAGTTTGTGGTTAGATGGTGGCCTATGAGGCGATCATCGCTGCGATGAAAAAAACGCATGAAGTAGCCCTGAACATGTGAACTGGGATCCGTTTATTTTAACTTCATGATGTGATTCTCATGGTGCTGCCTCCTTCAGTGCTAACGCTCCCTCTGCCGAACGGCGAAACCTGTCTGAAGCTGGCCAGTCAGTGGGCGTGCTATGCCAACAGCGCCCTAGGAAGGGCCATGGTGTCGGTCCGCGCTAGAGGCCCTTTGTGAACACAGCATCATTGTAGTGCGAATGTGAATAGAATTGAGTGTGGAGCGCTTCCTATCATCACTTATAAATCGGAATCTGTGCCGGAAGTCGGAGCTGTTATGAATTTCTGGAAACACTTCCACCAAAATACACGCACACTTGGCGGATCATAGCGCAAGAGAATTTATGCATTGTTGACGAAAGCGACATTTTGAATATACTTTAAAAATCGTCTCCAGCAGCCTTTTTCGATGTCAGTGTTGTTCGACGCATTATTGCGAGGTACACTAAATTTCAAGCAAAGAATCGGAACATGGGACAAATATCACTTTTTACTTATAGAGCACAGCCTCGACAACTTCCTGAATGTGTTCTTCCTCGAATGCATATGGAACACTGATTGCCTGGCCTCTTCCCTCGACAATTTTTCTCAAGTTAGTTCCTAAAACAAATAAAAACATACTTGAGATAAACTGTGGCCGTGGAAGTCACGCACCGTTAAAGCCAACAGCAACAATCACCGCATCAGAGCATAAATTTGGTTTCAACTCAGGTAAACCGCTCGTGTCAAGCCTGAAACTCGAAATCTGGCATCTTCGTGACCATCTGAGGCTCACAGACCTAAAGCATCGAGAAGATCGCTAGGAAACATATGTACTGGGCGGAAAGGAGGACCAGACAGTTTATTCTGTGCTCTTTGTTCCTTCTATACTTGTTGATATTCTTTATTGCTCTGGAGAATCATGTATCAGTTTTATAAGGAAGAAATCCGCAGCGGTTTCGATGGGTTTCATGAACATCCAGTAACCTAGCTCACTCTTCGGTGGTCAATGGGTCTGCATCTTTATCATAAGTCATCTTGTCTAAAAGAGGGCTGAATGTTGGGAAACTACGCCGCATATCATTTACTTCGACATGAGGAAAATGCTCTTCATAGTATCCGTATACTGCAATTACTGCACGGATTTCAGTAGCTATTTTGAAAATGATCTGACTGTTGTTAGCGAGAAAGCGCTTCTCCTGAAAGAAAAAACGTTTTTGAGCACAACAGAATGAACGTGAAAGCCGAGACAAAATAATCCAATTTAGTCTGAGTGTTCTTGTCGTTAGTTGGAACTGTATTACTACTATTTATTCGTTATAAATTTATTGGGCGGAAGTGGTGTAGTGGCAAGTGGCACGCTTACCACGCGAGCGGTCCGGGGATCAAATCCTGGGTCGTGAGTCGCCCGGGCCAACCAAGCCTTCCATCCCTCCGGGGTCGGTTAATTGGTACCAGACTTGTCTGGGAGGATAAAAACACTGACTTGTACATCGGCTGGCCCCCGCAAGTCATTGTATAGGCCACATCGCATTCAAACGCCACTACGAATGTACAAATGGAAGTAGAATGCGTGCCGCATCCCAAAAGGGATTGATCAACGGCAAATGCTTTATCCTTTATCCTTTAAATTACTTCAGCTTACCGCAGCTTGGAAAGCTTTATCCTTTATCCTTTACAGCACTTACTTCAGCTTACCGCAGCTTGCAATATCCACTACATGGCGGAAACCTTCAGTTGTTGACCCCATGTTTACAAGCATATGTGACCGTCTATTGTGTGGGTCTACGGACTTGACGCGGAAACCGCCGCACTTGATAGAAGTTGCGCGGATAAGCCACTCCTAACCAGATGACAGCAAGCTGCTGGAAGCAGCTTATCCGCGCAACTTCTATCAAGTGCGGTGGCTGCCACGTCATTTGCGGTGACACGCCTAATCAGACTTCGAGATGTGGACTGTATCTGCCTTCTTCGTCTTTATACCAGCTATGGTTCAGCAGTACGTAAGTATCTTTTCCTTCCCCTTCCGCGCGATTTGCCTTCAATCATTTGCCCCTTGGCATCCTCGACGAGAGCATTGCTTTGGCGTAGATCCGTTATCCATATATCTTGCCACGTGCTCGATGTATGAAGATGGGCGGCAGGTATAAGTAACTGTGTGAAGCGATGACAGAAATGAAATATGTGAAAAACATGGACACTGAATGGTCCATGTCTTTGTGTAAAACAAGCCTCCCTAAATGATGGTTATGAAAGTAACCCGGCTGCGTGGCGCGTACACGTAAAGGGACTGCTGGTTTCAATAATTTTCCCATTCACTATTCTCTCTTCTTTTTCCGTATTTTCTCGGGTCTAGTGCTACAGTGAAGGAGCCTTGAAATGAAGATTGAGAGCAGCATCCATTTTAAAAACACGTTACGATCATCAGAGCTGATCGAGAGGCTGATCGCTAGGAGTTTTCACGCAACATGCTGTGGCAGAGCGCAGCAACTGAAGCGTGGAAAGCCATTATGCAGCTGATGTTATCAACCCTTTTCGAAAAATCGTAACACGTGAAGTAAAACTCCGAACACTTCATTCACTACAATCACACGAGAGGAAACAGGAAGGATGCTTTCGTAACATGTTACCTGATCATATGCCGTTTGGTTCGCTCCGAAACTATACACGTCTCCCACAATGAGACAGCTCAAATCTGCTCTGGGTACCACTACAAGGAGTAGCTTATTTGGAACTCATGGTCTTAGTTGTAACTTGAGTTGACTACACCCAAAAAGGTGATGCGGTCGTTCAAAACATTATTACTCACTTACTGCATCACTTAAAATTGCAGCTTGCGAAAATCCCGCAGTTAACGGCCGCAAGATGTGAACGTCATATGTGATAGCAAGTTGCGCTCGAATTTCGCAGTTATCTTTCGAGGCAACACGTTTAAAATTGAACATGTATCAAGATGACTTTTCTTCAGAAAGGAGGATTTCTCATTCTGAAGAAAGATTCGGAAGTAAGTGTTTCAAACTGCGCTGAATTCGTGAGAAATAGGTAGGAAATACTGCTCTCGGATAAGTAAAGAAAGAAGTAAAGAGGGTAGTGGAATCCAGATGGAGTCGCAAGCGGCGAGCCTATTGAGCAATCAAAATGGAAGAGATACTTTGATTAGGCCCAAGCAATGCATATATTATGTATAAGGGGCACCTTTCAGAGGACCGATCATTGTTTGTTTGTTTCAGCGACAGTCCCCTTCACACCTTCCTCTCTCCCCTATCGGGAGCCCTCCCTCTCTTTCCCATCCACGAATATTCACATTTTTTGTGTCCCATTTTTGTCATGTATGATTTCTTGTGATGAAGCTTGTTTCGTTCGGACTGTGAAATTTTGCACTCAGTCAACCGTTCTACCTGTACAAGTTTCATTCGAGGAAAATACTTGGGAAACGCCAGGTTTTAAACTTTTGAGAGCAATAGCTTCCTCCATGTGCATCAAATCGGAAAAAAGGGTGTATTTAGAAATGAACGAACGGAATTACTCTATTTATTTATTTATTTATTTATTTATTTATTGGATGCACGCGTAGGTGCGCTATTCCGGACACAAGAGTACAGCTTATACAGAAAAAAAGTTTGATAGACCTTAACGCGAATGGAAAAAAAACTATCACATAAACAGAGAAAAAAAGCAAAGTTTTGTTATTTTTTCGGCCGAGTTGTTCTTAGACTATACACAAAATCACCTTTGTAAGAATCTAGGTAGGCGGAATGACGCTAGGGATAACGCCACTCTTTGACGACATATAGATATATGTATAAATATAGATTTGGCGACATATAGATATATGTACATAATCCGAAGCTGAATTTTCGGATGTTAGGTATTCCCTAGCCCTAACAATTCAGTTTCGGACCCGCCTGCGGAATTAATTTGATCTAGAACACCTCGAAAGTTACACAAATTTCGGATAGTTTGTAGAAGAAATGTCCGTAGCAACTCGAAATTATCCAACTAGAAGTCTTTTTTCCAAACCTTCTTCTTAACAGAATGCGTTATAGGTTGCAGTGACATTGGTAACTGTGGAAAACAACTAAGAACGAAACAGAAGAAAAAAAATCAAAAAAAAACAATATGTCAAGAACTGTTATATCACTGTCTTCTTTCACTGTGCGTCGATTAACATTTGAGTGTTGAAAAAGAACGACATAACTAATACCGATTTACTGAAATATCTTAGTCATCTTAGAAGTCCTGAATTCCAAGGAGTGCTAAAAGATCTACTTTCCTCAAATTCCTTTTGAACGTGTTCACATTTTGAGCCTTTTGGATCTCTGCAGGTAGCATCTGAAGCCACTTGGCTCCACGAAAAATCAAGGAGCTAGAAACTTTAGTACGCTGACTTTTGGCTAATTTTGGACATATCAAAGAAATTGCAGTGGTGCGCCCACGGGTAGGCTGGAACACCCAGTAATGGCTTGGCTTCAACTTCAGTTCGCCCTTGAGCAACTTGAAGCAGAAGACTATATCATTGAAAACGCGCCTATACAGAAGTGTCTTGAGCTTGAAACACCGCTAACGTTCTCTGTATTCCGGCATACAAGGTGTGTATGCCGGGTTTGGATGGTTGAATTTATTTGAAGGTTAGTGTCAAAAATGGTTCCGCGAGAATATTTGTTCGAGCACCAGTGATAGATTCTCCTCTGTGTCACTGTTCGAAGGATTAGAATCCCTTTCATGGACTTTTGTACAATGAGGATAACAGCTTTTGGTTTCACAGCTGTTTTGCTTTCTTGTAACTGTTAAGGAGTGCTGCGAAGTTTCAATTTAAATGAATAAATGGTTGTGAAGTTAACGCTGAAAACTGCAATTCATCTTGATTAGTAGATTCCTTCATTTCAAGCAGTCCTTTCCGAGAATCCCTTGATGTCTCAGACCGCATCACCAGTGCAGGGGACGGGCACTGAAGCCCATGGTGTGGTTGAGATCGTTCGAAGCGCGATCGAGCGACGTGCGCTAGTTGCGGTTACCATTCTCTCCCGAGCCGACTACCGCTGCTTTGTTCATTTCTGATCTCGGCATTTACGACCTTATCCCTCCCACTGGACCAAATAGGTCCTTTCTCATTAATGATTCCTCAAGGCACATTTGATCCTGCGCAAACTGCTTTAGTGATTCCATCTAATGGAAGGGAGAACTTATTTTCGAAGCAATAATTTTCGAAAGTTCATTTTGTAAATTCATTTTTCGGCTAGTCAATAAGTCAATAAGGCCTGCCAGCGCCTGTCGCGACCAGGGTCAACCGTGCGTGATTGGATAATCGTGGTGCAGTACGTCTCCCTTCACTCTCTCCTGAAGGATTTTCTCCGTATGATCGCCCGATCGCCCTTCGTTTGTGAGGCGGAGGATTGAAATCACATGAACAACTGTTACAAAAGCGCCAAATATGATCGCGGTTGAGGGCATGGTGGTGATGGAACTCGTTATGTCATTTCGGATGGCGAGGAAGACTGAGTTAAAAACCCGGCCAATCGTAAAAACATATCTTCTTTCATACACAAGATTTTGCAAATAATCCTGCTATCTATAAAGAGCTATGTCTGCCAGTGCATGTTTCAAGGATTATCCGGGCGGAGCCCGCCTACAGTGTACGGGGCGTGACCTGAAGAGGGCAGTGTTTATTACAAACGGTTCAGAGACGTCCCAGAAATTGGAACAAAGTGGATAGAAGTCGGAGGAGGAAGAAAGGGTAAGTGGGTGGAGCGTCGAAGTGGGCGGAGGTTGCCAGCAAGCATTATGAAAATATCGATGGACCTGTTGTTGACTTGTGGGATGCACGCGAATGCGTGCACTGCTAAACTGATCAAATACATACAGTAGTGGCCAGAAATTTATGAACAAACGGTTTTTTCATGATTTCTCTTTTGAAAGTCACTGGAACGTCTCCAAATTTGCAACAATTATTAACTACGTGTTTTATGATCCACACAGAAAATTTCAACCTTCAGCTCAAATTTGGGTTTAGAAAATTTTAGATTTTTCGAAATTAATGAAGGCAGGTGAAAGATCACTTGATCCGTTTATTTGATTTAAATAATGTATAACCCAACAGAACAGTCAAGTAAACAGTCACTAACATTAAGCAAGTCTAGCACATTGCCCAGAACTCTCTAAAGTATTGGATACATAAACTGGATTTGAATGCGGGGTCAAC